AGCCGCTTGTACAGCGAAGCAGGCGAGTTCTCCTTGGGAACTGGGCTTCTCCCTGGGAGTGAATAAATGAAAGGAGAGCAGGAGGCCGAGCTGCTGTCGTCTTCTTGCAAGGCGTCTAGGCTGGCAAATAGGGCATAGAGGGATGTGGGAAACCGGGGTGGGGTGGTGGTGACAGGAAGGCAAAAATCTAAACCCTGACTGATACCTGGAAACCCAAACTGGAAGAGGCTTGCCAGCACCCTAGTATTGTGCTTAGAATTGGGACAAAAGGAAAGCAGACAAGCTGATGTTGTCTTGTAACCCTTTCTACATTTATTTCAGCGGAGGGCCTTACGGATTTCTCTGTTAAATAGAAGTTTGTGAGCTCTTATTCTATGTGAGAGCAGGAATACTTTGAGTGTAAGTAGTTGATCTGCTGGTGGTGGTATTAGAAAGATCTTCACTGTCATGGTGATTCATCTAATTGAAAATAAGAGGCAGCATCTAATCATATTTAGCAAGTTCTCTGGAAAATCTGATTCCTCCTGGTTCTACAACTCTCGTTACTGAAGCAGTGTGAGTTGTGTGGTGCACGATAACACGTCACAGCTCTGAGGGGGCTGTGCCTCTGTGTCTTTAACTGAGTTTCACTGGGAAAACCTGTTCCGCACTTCTTCCCCACCCCCAGATGGAAGACTCCTTTTGGAGACAGAGCTTCTGATGGTGTGTGGAGTATTCAGTTTAAGGGGGTCTGGATCATCTTCGTCATCCTCTGCTTACCTTCTCCTCTCGCTCCTTTTAGAGGAGAAAGTAAACTATCACTATAGAGTTCAAATTACTTGCCCAAATTTACAACACTTGTCCTGACCTTTTTATAACACCTCTCTATTTATTCCTGTGTGACTATTTCTAGATGTCTTTAACACCCCTTTTTTCATACTACTGAAAGCGCTTTTGTCCAACTAAAATGCAGTTTGCCTCCTCCTGAAATGAGTTTTAAATGGCACAACTTTATTTGTGCTTGGCCGCATGCTATTTAAGGATGAGTCTTTCCTTTAGCTGCAGAATTTGGAGTGTTTGCATACACTTACCCATCAGACTGCAAAACAATTTTTATGGCTTTCCAAGTAACTAACTCCTTTGATAATTCTGCCTCCAAATAGCTGCCTTGTAGCTCAATCAGATACTTTCAGTCCTGTATATCCTGCTAAAACTCAGTATCTCACCAGTGTAGGAGTGGAGAGATTTACTAAACAATAACCTTTGGTATATATTGCGAAGTTAACACTTGGTATTACGGAAACTGTTAGTTCATCTTGGATTAAAAAAAATACTTGGAACGTTTGGCCTGAAATTATGTTGAAACTCCACTTGATGGAGGCAGAGGTATTGAAGCTGGACAATGGCTGTTCTGGGAGCTGAACGCGTTCTAATTGATAACCTTGCTTTCTCCACTCCCTCTACTAGCAGTCGAGACCCAATGAGTCTTAATTTCTGTAGCATAAAAGCCCTGTGGGAAAGTGTTACAGCTACTTCCGTGGCTTATCAGTAAATCCTGAATGTCTCTTACAAAAGCAAGAATAATCTGTTCCTTAAATTCAAACACTAAAGCTTAACTTTTCTCAAATACTGTAATTTCCCTTTGAATTAGCAAATTATGCCTTAGATGCCAAGATACTCAGTAGGAACAAGTGGCTCTTAATCCAGAGGTGAACTAGCGCACTGAAGGCATGGTCTTACAAGGCAGCTAAGCTTGCCTGACAGCCAGCTATCAGTGGAAGGGGTTGTCCTACTTCTCCCAAGGCTACGTTCCCCTTTTCCTCACATTAGCACTTTTTCTGTCACTGGACTGAAGAGCTGAACGGGCAGGAAAAAAAATTGAGTTGATTTTCCTGTTGGTTCCAATTATCTTACTGTTTAGGTCAAGTGAGCCCCAATGCAGGTGGTGGGATCACTTGTGATGAGATCTAGCTATTAGTTTAGCTTGGCTATAGCATGAGTTTGTAGCCTGCAGGTGCACAGTATGGCTGGTGAGCTGTTCTGCTCTGAGCTGTTAGCAGTTTGCAAGGACTGCAGCGGAGGAGACAGCTACTTGGTGGGTGTTGGGGGGTGCTCCTGTTCATTTCAGAGAAGGCACCTTACTAGATTTTGAGGAGGGTGGGAGAAGCTATTAAAGGTTCTTAAAATCTAGGTAATACACAGCACAAGGAAATCAGGATCTTGGTTCAGAATGATACCCAGCTACAGGCTTTACGGGTTGGTTTGTTTTTAAGCCCCATAACACCAGCCCAATGTTATTAATTAAATAATTTACATACTCAGAAGTTAAGCCCTTTTTTAGTGATTCTTGTTAAAATATTGCATGCTAAGCCCTTCATTGCAGTCACCATGTACTGCTGACATTATCATACTCAAAATAGCTGTATCTGGGGCCTGTAGTGATTGTTTAGGGTTATAGGACTGGTTGTCTCTCCTCTGTAATCTCCATAGGAGGTGGCAGATCTCAAGCAACTTTTCTGGTGTCTGTATTAATCTTTAGGAATGTGGGTGCCTGGTATTTCTGCCATTGTGAAAAAAATTATGGACAAAAATGCAAGGAGACTATTGAGTCATTGTACTTCAGTGAAAGGACTCTAAGGGAGAACCAGACTCTGGGGGTTTTATTTAATTTTCCAACATAAATGCTGATGCACGTTGTTCAGCTAATTCTAACATCTCTGTATCCTATTTTGCAGTAAAAGCAAGGGGAAGAAAACGTTTCATTGTTAGACTGAACTTTTTTGTGTTTTATATTAAAAAACTGAATTTGGAAACTCTCGGTAATGTAGTCATGTCAGTGTGTAGTCATGTCAGTGCACTTATCCTTTATCGTTATAAGCCAAATAACCTATCCTGGTTAGGCTGGGTAAGAATCTTCCCATGAAGAGAGAGAGAGCAAAATGCAATACATGACTAATAAATCCCATTTTAAAGATTTGATTAATAAATAGCCTTTTGGAAAAGGGAAATGCATTGTCATGAGAAATTTTCCTGCAATTAAAAGCCTGATTAAGACTGCTGGCAATGTTCTAGTAGGTCAGAGCTCTCTTCTTGCCTTTTCAAATAAGTGGGAAAGCCTCTGTTCCCAGTTTTCACAAATAACTTGTAGACATTGATTAGCCCAATGCAATGGGTGTTGCTGTCTTTGTGATTATTAGGTGCGATCTCCTTAAGTGGATATATACAAGTTGGTGAAAGGGAGTGATTTTCCTCTCTGCGAGAGGATTAAGCATCCTATTCCAGAAAAGATCACTGGCGTCCCAGGCTGTTAGAGGTCTCTGTCCTCCCAGAACAAAGCAATCCCTTAAATGAATACAAGCTAGATATTTGGAATAAGATTAGCAGACTGCTATGACTATGATCATAACTTCCCTGATCCAAGAACACACACGTGTACACACACAGAAAAGATTTCTGTGGTTGGACAGGATACACCTAAGTGACAACCAAAATTCCCTAAGTGACAACTCCTGGCTGTGTATTGGTCTTAAAATACCTGTAATTATGCTATGGTATGTATACTTTTAACAAAATGGACTGGATTTGTAACAAATTTGAGACTGTTGGAGGTGGGATGTTGTTTAGAAAGCATGGTAAGAGTCAAAACAGAATCACTTTATTACCTCTCTTTGGGCAGGCCTCTTTAGGGGGTTGAATATTTCAAGCCTCCTTTTGAAAAACGGGTTTTGAGCAGAGATTTGGTTTAGGGATCCCTGGATCCTCTTGTGCATCTTTGCTTGTTAAACTAAGAGGAGTGTTTAAATCTATCTTTGCCTGTCTAATCCTGTTAGAGGGGGAAGTGGCAACACAAAGCCCCTCTGGTGTATGTTAGTGACTTGGCTGCCAACACAGAACCAGCTGTTCATCTTTAAAATAGTTTTACCTTAGCATTTTGTTGTCTTTTCTCAAGGTGTTGTGCTTCTTGCAAGGAGGCAGTATGGGCTAAGAACAGTTGATGCAAAGCCAATTACTTGATGTCATGAGTTTAACACTGCCACCTCCATCAATCTCAACAGTTTTGTTTTGGCTTACATGCATTGTGCTTAGTGGAGTGCGCATTTCAAGTCCCATGTCTTAGTTGGATATGTTTTATTTACTGCAACTAGCAAGTTTCCCACATGTGCTGCTTTTATCTGTGTGAATCATAAAGGAAGTAGGAAGTGGTCTCAGGGTGCAGTGTTTGAGCCACATGTTGTTAGTGATGTGTAGGGACAAAACCAGGGTGTCTGGTACTGTTAGTTCAGTCCCACTTCTAGAGATCTCCTGTCTCTTAAAAGTTACTCTGTCCTAGTTAAATGGCTTAGGTGACTTATACTCAAGCCCTCTAATCATAAAATCACTTGATGTCTGTTATAACCACAAGAAGAGAACGTCATGTAGCTGTTTTCTTCCTTTCTCTTTGGATCTCCATGATTAGTTGTTCTTTTGGCTTGGATTTTTGTTCATACAGTCTGTTTCTAAAGCTTATTTACTTTAAGCTTGCTGTGTGCAGGGGTTTCAACTTGTGTGTAGCTAAGTAAGTGCAGCTAACATAAGTTATGGATGTCCAAAGATGATGTGTGTCATGATAAGGTTACTTAGCACTGCAGCTGCCTTAGGCTTCCGTCTTTCTGACTTGTCTTAAGCTGATTGGATGTACATACTTGTGTTCAACAGCGTTAAATTCCCTCTATATGCCACGAGAACAGGTAAATGTTAAATGCCTTCTTGGCTCCTTCACCTGGACTGTTGGCAGTTGTTTGGTTTCAGGGAAGAGGAAGATGAGATCAGCTCACATGACCCACTTCAAAACAACAAAGATGAGGCCCGGAGGCAGATATCCTCTCTAATGTTTGCTTCTTTTTTCAGTCTTTCCACAGCAGTGGGTTTTTTCCTTTTCCTACAGATGCCCAGCACTTATCCTCTTTCATTTCCTTCTAGACCAAAGTTGCCTGTTCTGTGTCTTGACAAGGCAAACTTACTTTACAAACCGCTTTTGGTTTTGTACTATTTCCAGAAAAAAGTTATCCTTAGCATTCCTCGGCAAGTTTGCCCAAATGCACAGTGAAATCTGGGAGAGAAGAAAGCTGTAAACCAAGATGTGTGTCTCATTCAGTGACAAAGATCACAAATTTTCTTCTGACTCATTCATCCAACTGTTGACATGGCTTAAAAAAGCCTGAGGTGGCAGCCCTGAGTCAGAGTACAGCTGCACTTAAAATGCACTTGATTAACTTGAATCTTGACCCTTAGACTCTGGATGCATGCAGTACAACTAGTGTGGTTTGTTCTGATATTAACTGTTTAATTAACTCTAAGTGTGTTTGCTGGATTTTTTTTTCTTGTGGTAATCTTCAGTTACAGAGTAAGCAAGGCTTGTCATTTGCATAGGGTTTGGAACAGCCTTTAGTATTTACTAGTTACTGTGGCAAGAATAAACTTTCAGGAATGGCTTTAGTCTCCTTTCTCCATACTCCCATATATACTGAAAGCATGGAATGCTGCCAGAACTTTAAAAAAAAGATTCTGCCAGAAAGAAACCCATCAGCTGTATTGTCTAACCTGAAGTCAATGTAAATACTGAATTATGAAAGAAAAGGTTTGTGTGCCTTTTCTGTCCACTTTTTATAATATAGTTCAATGCTGCCTGGAAGACACCTATACACATGTGGGTTCCCCCAACCCTTTTCATGCTTAAAGTATTCTAATTTTGCATAAACTGTATGAATCAATGTGCCTTACAACACATTGAACGTTGTGTGGGATAATGGGGTTTTGTTAAGTGGCTCCTCCTCCTAGTTCTAACGCAGGGATCTCTGCAGAGTCTGGCAGTTCTGCATGAAGGCTTGTGGAATGGGCATTTACTTTCACAAGTGTCAGCCTGCCCAAACTGCTCCTGTCATCTGAAGGTAGAAACCTGCTGGATAATCTTGTAGTTAGTTTTAGATTAAATTTACATTTGTTTCTTACTAGGTTGCACTTTTCAAACAGTAACATACACTGACTCCAAATGTGTCCTTCCAGTGATCTGGCTAAGCTGAACCTGTGCATTAAATGGGCCAGCCAGGTGCTAGCTTGCATTCAGAGTGAAAATGCAAATCCAAGTGGAAGTCTCTGTTAGGTAATAACCAGTGCTGTTTAGGAAACTGGGTGACAGTTAAGCACTTGTCATAATCCAGAGGCAGTAAATTTTCCTGTGCACCTCACAGTCCTGTAGAGCATGCTAATCTAGACCCTGTTTGGCAATTCTGTATTTGTTCCTTTATAATTATTGTAGTTGTGGAGCAAACTAACCAGTGAGTTTGCAGGATGAAGGGGTATGTGGGACCAGATACATGTTGCATTTCCAAGAACTAAGGCTCAGCATCTGTTGCATGATGATATAATTTCCTTTTAACTACTACACTGAATTGTATATATAAATGCCTATTTTCTTTCTGCAGAGGATGCTATTTTTAATGGAAGTAGAAACTGTGTATACTTGCATAAAGGATAGAGGGTATAACTTCATGTAGCAGCTACGCTGATTTAATTGCTGCTGCTACACAAGTACACATGCTTTGCACTGTTGCTTTTCTGAGCTGTTAGAGGGAACTAGCTTGGCAGAAAGCTTATTACTGGTTTTTAATTTGTACAGAATTAGTCTTCTGTCAGCCGGACTCCCTGAATCAGGTTGTTACATGGTGTTGAGTGCCTGAGCATGTGGGTGGGAGTAGGATTGCCCTTTCAGCTCCTGACTATCTGATAGTTGAGCTGTAACATGAAACCCTGAGATAGACAAACTAAAACCAAGGTCAGCCTTCATCTGGTAAGAGCTCCATCAAAACGCAGTTAATGTTACATAGAAAGGTGCTGCTGGGTTCTGCTTTTCTCCAGATCCTTGTCCAAAATGCTCTTTGGGTGGAGCATGATAACAGGCTTCCCCCACTGCTCCCAAGTGTTCTCAAACTGCAGTGGTGAAGAATTTCATTAAATCCAAGTCCCAAGTATATGTTTCTCTCTAGATGTTGATGACCCTGTGTGCATGAGAACTGCTGACCTCAGAGTCTGCAGAGTGCATGGATCTTGAGTGCCTTGAGTATCACCTTGCCTTCCTTCCCTGCTAATGATGCTGTTTGCCCCTGCAGTTCCTGAGAGTGACGAAGCAGTACCTCCCTCACGTGGCCCGCCTGTGCCTGATCAGCACCTTCCTGGAAGATGGCATCCGCATGTGGTTCCAGTGGAGTGAACAGAGGGATTACATTGATGGCACATGGAACTGTGGCTATTTCCTGGCCTCCATCTTTGTGTTCATAAATCTCTTCGGACAGCTGAGTAAGTGGCTCTAAGGCTGTTAAGGTGGATGCCAGAGCACTCCGGTGTGTCTGCCACCCTGGCTCATGTAAGCACTGTGATTCATGTAAGCATGGGACGCCTCACTGATTTCTTAATAGCCATTGACAGCTTAGAACTGATAGTACTACATGAGCTGAACGAAAAGAACTCTTGATTGACCTGCTTCAGCCTTTCCTGGAAGTAGTTGTAGAGAATTTCTTGTGACACACTACCTCTGTGTCAGAGATGCCAAGAATTAAGACAATCTGGTTTCAATGCTGCACATGCATCTATAAATGCATACCACACCCCCTGACTTCTCTAAATGAAATACTCATGTTTTCTTAAACAGGGCAGTGTTAAGACCTTCTCAGCCTACTGTTTTTATGGGTATTAATCTCAATGGCAGTCTTATCCTGCAGTTGGTACACTTAAGCCTGAGAGAGGTGCTTGTGTCAGACTTTCAAAGCCCAGGAATCAAAATAATCCCAGAAGCAGAGCTCTATGTGTGCTAGGTGGACTTTAGGGTATCAGAAATGAAGAGAAGTAAAATTCTTTTTCGCTTGTTATGTCCCTGATTTACTGTTCTTGGTTGCTCTGCCAATTTCTTGTCTTGTGTCTGAGGTTTTTTTACCCTCATATTTTTTGTGTAGAGAGTCAGCTTAAGTTAATGTAGTTACCAGTCCTCGTGTCAAAGTGGCAAAGGCTGTCAGAGCTTTGTGACAGAAGACTTGAGGAAGGGTATAAAAACAAAAGCTTTCAAGGAAAAGGAGTGCAGCATGTTTGCCTTAACAGTTACCTCATTTAAAAAAAAAAAAATCCACGATGAATTGAGTTTCTTTTTAACTTCTTTCAATGCTTTAACACTGATAGCTGCTGTACAGTGCTGTGTTGTGGACTGCATTTCAGCATGTGCTTGTACTTTGTAAAATAAAATATACTTCTGGAATTATAGGATATTTTAAAATGCACTAAAACTTCTCGGTTCTCAAACTGATTTGTGCCAATGTGCCATTAAAATTTCCTGCCTGATGTTCTCCGTGGCACCGTTGAAAGAAATTGGTCTGCTCAGTTCAAAATAAGTTAGCATTCCCGCAGCATCTTTTCCTGCACAAGCCAGAAGTGTAACTGTGTTCAATTTCCCCAACTCAGGCGGCTGTATCCTGGTGCTGAGTAGGAACTTTGTGCAATATGCCTGCTTTGGACTGTTTGGAATTATAGCATTACAGGTAGGAGGCTTAAGTCTTCAGCCCTTCTAAACTGTATCATTCGAATCTTCTCTTAGCCCCGTACTACCAACATATTCAAATACAACTCACAACCCTGGAATTTTTCTCCACCCTGGCCTAGTGCCAGTCCTCAATGGCATTGAACTATTTTGCTACTTCTGTTCTTCTGATGTGCCCAATAGATCCTTGGCTGTAATTGCAATTAGTCAGCTGGAGATGTTGATTCAATACTTGACCTTGACCAATTTAGCAGAAGTAACTTGCAATTTACCTGTATGTCAGTAATGTGCCAAATGTGGAACTTGCAGTTGCTTTGGCCTTCAGCACACAGCTTTTATAAAGGACTGTCCCCATCACAAAGGATCCAAGCTAGTAGCATCCTTCCTGTTCAAAACCAATGAATTTTTGTGAGGGCTAAATCACAAGTCAAATTCTGGCTTCTATTCCCTGTTTTGCACTGACTCATCGGACCACATTGATGTAATCTACCTTGTTTCCTTCAGTATAAGATACTTCTAATTGACTTCTGCTATGGATAGACAGGCTTGAGATTATAACATAAATTCAGAACTTCAGTGTAACTTATGTGGTGGTTTAATCTGTTTTCTTCTTTGCCTAGACTATTGCATACAGCATTCTATGGGACCTGAAGTTCTTGATGAGGTATGTCTACTTCTTAAAGTTTTTTGTCAAAACGGAATGAAAACTGTTGTTTGGCACTGCCACTCTCTGACAGAGGAAATTATCTTTGTACGTAGTATTTACTGGAAAGATTTTATAAGTTGTGCATTTACACTAAACAAGAAATGACAGCACTTAAAAAAAAATCTGTACAGTCTGTACAGTAGACAGCAGGCTCAGTGCTGTAGAAAGGAAAGACTAATCCTAAGCCACTAGGATCTTAGTGCTTCTGCTACTAACCTCCTTGCTGAGAGCTCACAAACAACTGTCTAGACTGGATCAGTGAGCTGCTATTATTTCCTAAATGGCTAAAATAGCAACTGTGCTTATGCATGACTGATGCTATTTTCCAAGAAAACTAAAGTATGTAGATGTTAGAGTGGTTTCTGGGATTTTAAATCTCTGACACATTCTCTTAAGTAGCAGACAGGGTTCTTAAACATGAGCTTTCTTGTCAAATCCTGAGCGATGGCTGGCTGTTACGTTTTCACTCCTTTCCTCTGAGGGGAGAGCAGGGGGCAACACAGGAACTATACTCTGGGCTTACTACAACCCTGTAAATGTTTAACTTCTTTTAGCAGTACTGCTGTTCTGTTTTCTCAAAGCAACCTCTGAACTACTTTGGCATATATGGCTAAACCTGAGGTACAGAATAATTTCAACACAACTAAATTCATGCTGTAACAGATGCTAAGCAACTGTGCCTGAGCTGTGGGTGCTGGACTTCTCGGATAGGCTGTACATGTCTTCACGGGCTTGTGTAAATCGTTGTTCTGTACAATGCTGCTGTTTCAGCTGTGAAGTCTAATGCAGGCACGCATCACAAGGTGCATAGTAGGTCACTGCTCACTGGCATGCAGATTCTTACTGAGTTGAAATTGTCATAAGACTTTAAATCTATAGATCAGTGCAAAATAAACTGCTTTTTTGCCCTGTTTCTCCCTGTAGGAACCTTGCCCTTGGGGGAGGCTTGCTGCTGCTTTTGGCTGAGTCGCGCTCAGAGGGGAAGAGCATGTTTGCTGGTGTCCCTACCATGCGGGAAAGCTCTCCTAAGCAGTACATGCAGCTGGGGGGCCGTGTGCTGCTCGTCCTCATGTTCATGACACTGCTACATTTTGATATGAACTTCTTTTCTGTAAGTATCTGAGTATAAAAGTATGAGTTAAGGAACTAGAATATAGTACCAACTCCCAGACGGGCTGCAGGACCTAGTCAATGCTTATCATTTAAGTCTATTTCTTAGTAGAATTAATATTTAGAAAAGTTACTAAATCATCTATGTCATGACAACCTGTTCTGCTGAACTTATCCATGCTCTGTTCTGATGTTTGTGTATCTATTTAAGAACCATATGTAAGCTTGTGTTTTTTTCTTTTTTTCCTTGCAGATTCTGCAGAACATTGTGGGCACAGCCCTGATTATCTTGGTGGCAATTGGCTTCAAGACTAAGCTGGCTGCCTTGACTCTAGTCATCTGGCTGTTTGGCATCAACATCTACTTCAATGCCTTCTGGACCGTCCCAGCCTACAAGCCCATGCACGACTTCCTCAAATATGATTTCTTCCAGACCATGTCTGTAATCGGAGGGCTCCTCCTCGTGGTTGCACTGGGCCCTGGCGGAGTCTCCATGGATGAGAAGAAAAAAGAGTGGTAACAGGAATAGCAACACTTCTTGGGACATAACGTATTAAGTCCAGAACTGATTCTCTATGGATTCAACAAAAACTGCCAGCATTTTACACGTACATGCCCCCTTCCTATTAAAGGCACAGATGTTTTGAATTTGATTTACAGTGGCACCAGTAATACAATAGATAAAATCCTATTTCTTCAAGGAACGTTGCCTAGGCTTATTCTAACTTCCTAGATTTGGAACTAACCCAAGAAACCTGCATTTTGCTGATGCTTCAGTGAGGTTGCAGTAGAACAGTTGCTGTCTTTAATGTCAGCAATTTTTTAAAATTTGAAGTACTGTGAGCAGATACAGCTGTACCATTCAGTGTGCTGTTGGGTTCTAGCTATAACTAAAAAAGTGGATCCCCTTTCTCACTCTCTTCAAAACTGTCTTGTGCATAAGGAGTTCCATTGCTGGTTATAGCATTGCTTATCAAGGTGGAAAGCAGCATCAAAAAAATCACTGTTGTTTTGCTGCTCAGAGGCCTGTAATTCCATTTTGTTTAACAAGAGGGGAGGTCTTTCCTGCCCCCAAATAGAAGGCAAAAAGAAAACCCTGAAAGTAGTTGTACTCACCTCTAGGTGAGAAAAGGGAGAGGGTTTTCTAATGTGTCCCAGTTCTGCTCTTGAGGGGAACGAGGGACAATCCTGTATTGCTAATCAGGAATCCTGTATGGCTAATCAGATTTCAAGGAGGAAGGGGGTGAGATACTCCTGAAGAGAGAGATTGTTAGATTCTGTTAAAATTCTGTGCCAAAAGAACTCTAGTCAGCATTCTTTCCCCAAAGTTGCCCCTCCTGAATTCCCAAGAAGGGAGTCAAGTTATGCTGCGGGTTCCATAATGAAAGCTCCTTTCTGCTATTAACCAGCTTCCATCCATGTATGCCCCAAATTCATATCTGAATTGCAGGTTATTGGTGAAAGTGTCTTCAGAATTACAGAAACTCCCCTTTTCTCTGTACTCAGTACATGCAAGATGAGAGCAGTCAATCTTCTGATCTGTAGTCTTTGCTTCTTAGATTCACTTCTGTCAGTCTCTCAGCTGTAGAAGTCCCAGTTGACTGAACAGCAGAAGAGCTGGGATGCTGAACTCTTGAGTACAGCTGCTCCTCTCTGCCATCTGGGACCAGACCTGAGATGTCTAGGGAGGAAACATGGAAGTCAGCTAGCTGTGTGCTGCCGTAGCCGAGGTTCTCAACTCTGTATGCAAACGGTTATAGCTGAAGAATGCAAGTGCAAAGCCCGTGCAGTGAATAAGCAGCCAGGTATGTAACTTGCATGTTCAGAGAGGAACTCCTCAGCATAATGGTGAGCAGAGAGGAAGGCCCTGTTTTCACCTCTCAGTGCCACAGCCTCTGTGCCATGAACATGCTTAGTGCTGCTCAGAGGAGGCATTTTGTCCTCTGCTAGTCAACTAGGTGAACCTGTTTCACTAGATTACGAAAGAATTCTAGAAAGCATGAGCCCTACCAACTTGCTAATGTTACATTGATTCCTTGCACTGTTGTCTCCCTTGAGAAAGCTGCTCAGCTTTGTTCAAGGAGTGATTCAGCTGAACACCTCCAGCAGGAGCTGTTTACCAGGGTCTCCTGGTAAGGATACTGACCTGAACAGTTCAGCTTAGCGGTTGCATTTTAGGAGAGAAAACGAGGCCGAAAGAACTGCTGACAAATAGAAGAGCACTGTTCAATGTTAAACCAGTGATTTCATCATCTTAAGGGGAAAATAGCCTATGTAATAGCAAGATGTGCTGCTGCTGAAGGAAACAAATTGGTGTGTGGGGGTAGATGGGAGGGGAAGCTGGCATTTAAGTTCAGGTCACACAGAAGGCTTTCTTTTTAAATAGGTTTTGTAAGAGAAGTTTTCACCTCAAGTGTTCCCTGTGCCTGTCTCTTCATAGCAAAACAAACTGGCCCTTTCAGTTACGGATGTGCGGCACAGGATGCCTTTGCTCAATTTCACTGCAGGTCCTAGAACGGTTTTAGGCTTCATCAAGGCAGCCATTCTCAGATATCTTAACTGCTGTTGATGTTCATAGTATTTATAAATGGGATGATAGAAACAACTCCTGTAAGTAGCCCTTAAGTTGGCTTTCTCAACTTCTTTGTGTCCTGTCTAACTAAGGAGCTGGATGATGGACTAGCCTGAAATATTGACCAGTTTCCTCTGTGAAAATCAAGTTCGTTTCCAACAAAAGACCCCTGAAAAGGGACTGATACTGTCCCTTGCAGCAGAAGTATTTCAGTACTGAAGGGGCACAGTTAGGTGGAGGGCATTATAAGATACTTCCAGGCAGCGCAATATGCAGACTTACTAACTGTGAGTCCTGATGCGGAAGATTCTGGTTTCCTACATACACTGCTGTATTCGTGCATCTCCCAAAAATACGGTGACCTTGCCCCATGGCTGAGAAGCTCTCGCAAGCAAGATGTCGGCTATCAATTGGCTCTGCAAAGTGTTCTGGAATTCATTCTGAATATATTTTTGCTTTCTATGTGGAAAAAGAAATAAGTATAAATTCTCATTTTATGCTGTATTTTGTACCTTAGTTGTGTTTGAAAATGTTTTGATTTTTGGAAACAATCAAAATAAAACAATGGCATCTTTGTATCCACTTGGCGTGTGTGACTGGTGACGCTCCACAGACAGGCTACCTGGAAATGCTGGTTAGTGGTATGGTGTGCTTTCTTTCCCACCTACTGAAAATCATCTTTCCATAAAGTGGTCTGAGCACTGGGCTGCCTGTACTTGACTGCAGCGGTCATCCTTCCCTTGGTGGTGGGGGGTGGCTTGAGGCTGTTAGAATACAACTTAATTCCACCCTGCTATTCTCCTCCCCAGCTGTAACGGTTAACTGGAATGGGCAAACACTTCAGACAGTCTTGTGCACCCTCTAGAATTGTGAGACAACAGGCTTCAGGCCATGTATTTATCATAAAATTTATTTGCCGTTGGTTGCTTTCTTGAAGTTCTTGGGTTTTTGATGATGACTCTTGAATTTCTTCTTTAAAGGGCCTGACTGTTTCTGTAGAGAAAAAAAGTTAATCAGCTTGTTTCCAAAACCCAAATCCAGCCCTGCCCAAGACGGCTTAAAGAGAAACCGAGCGTAGTCTCCCTTACAGAGACAGAACAAGCACAGCGCTGGTGACAAGAGCCAGCCAGGATCTCTCCTTGCCCCACCCTGCAAGTTAGTGTTCCTTTCTCTGACAGGCATGTGGTTTCATTAGATAGAAACAGTGACAGTCTCCCCCCAGAAATGAGCCCAAACTTCATCCAGCCTCAACTTTCTGGTTTGGTATGGTTATAAAGGATCCAGCCCCTTCTTTAGCGGGCTGCCTTAGGGAGTTAAAGGTTTATCCATCTTTATGTACATAACATCTGCCAGCTTCCCAAACTGAGAAGGATCCGGGTATGTCCTGTAAGGCAGGACCTCGCCAGCTCCTCAGAAGAGGCAGAAAAAGGGTCTAGAAGGACCCTGTGACTTCAAAAGGGTTTAACTAGTGCTTCTGTGCTTATGGGGAGAAAGATTACGGAACCCACAAGACGCACTTCAGTCTCCCTGTTAAAGACAGCGTGCAGCAGGATCCCATCAAAGATGAGCTATTTATAGAGGCAGGAACATCCCCAGTCAGAGCAGACAGGACAAATGTTTACTGGTAGTAATTCACACCTCAGGATGCGAATCAGTGGCTGGCACACGGGGAAAGTCTATTCTGTGCAGCTCTGCACCTTCTGCTGGTTCTCAGACAAGAATAGATCAGACAACACCTACAGGATGGGATCTCGGTTCCACGCTCCCCTGCTGCTGCACGCGGCAGCGTGACTCCCACCTTTCCCCTTTTGTTGCCAACTGCTCTGCTGATGTCCATTCTTCCACCATCCTCTCTGTTCACGTCGCCATTCTGCTTGGCCCCCTCATCCTCGCTGTCTATTGCAAAGTCATCACTGCCCTTTGTGGTTTGTGGAGCTGCCGGGTTTTTTTCTGGGAAGAGTGCAGCTAAAATACAAAGATTTAGCTCAGGATCAGTCCCCTGTGCAGACAGGCTCTGCCTCCCCCTAATTTTACTTTGAGGGCATCTTAAAGGTGATTTACCAAGCTGCTTCCAGTCTCCGAGCATATACATGTCTCTGCTGAAATACTTGGGAAATAAACACACTGGTGTTTTATTAGAAACACACCTGGTGCTCTTACGAGCCCCGTTCTGTGCCTGCTCTGCTACAGCAAGGCAGTGTCTCCAGATGTAAGTCAGCAGAACGGCCTGGCCAACTCCTATCAGACGGAGGCACTTGCTGTAGAGATACCTATAGCAGTAAATCCCAGTGGATCTTGTATCCCTCCCCTCTGGTTATTACTTAGTGATAACTGCCATTTCTTACTTGGCAGTGGGAAGCTTTTCTGAAACCCAAGAACCCCCAAATGGATGGAGTCACAGGCCTCCAGCACGCGAGCAGCAGGGAGGAGTGAAAAGAAGCCAGGAGACAATGAGCCGACAAACTCCTTTCAGAACATAGATGATACCAACGTTCGTACTCACGTGGGTACAGGTCACTCATGCTGTCATCCGTCTCCTCTCCGTCCTCATCGCTGGACTTTGGCTCCCAGAATTCCTCTTTTCTGTAAGGCTGCCTGCTCCCGTTCATTTGGTCATCAGGGTGCTGCGTCCGCTGCTTCTTCTGTCGCAAGCAGGCAGGGACATACTCCACTCCTTCCTTCTGGCACTCCTCATCTAATAGTGCAGCACTTAGCAAGGCTACCCAGTCACCTTATTCCTTTCCATTTCCAGTTGTAGCTTATATTAAATGCAACTCAAGAGTATGTTGAGCTCAACTCTAATATACATTTATATACATGCAACCTACAGTGATACTATGGACCATAAAAGACGGGAAAGATGTTAACACAGAGACTGTGCTGGACGTGTGAACCACCCTCTCTGGGGAAGTTTCAGAACCGCTCCTCTCAAGTAAGGATGTCCCAAGGTATTTGCTAGAGGCCTTTTGCTCCCTACATCTGGGATCTTCCTTCCTAGCTGAGGAGCACACACAGCAACAGCAGAACATTACTCTCAGTCTAAAGAAAATGTATCCCCCTCCTTCATGTAGAGCTACTGAAATCTCAACAGCTCAGGGGAAAAAGTTGGCTGGTTCTATCTTCAGAAAAGCCACTTACATGTTTTTAGGGCCTTCTGATAGCGCTTCCCTTGGACGTGACGCAGCACATGCTCTGGAAATTTGTTGATGTGTCTGAGAGTGAGCTTGCAAAACAGCTGGTGTCTGACAGACACAGAAAGAAAGAGACAGCAACAGAGTTTAAGTATGCTGTTACTTAGTAACTTTTCATTTATAAGCACTGTGCTCAAAGTTGATAAATGCTTTATAAAGACTTTCCCAGTCTCACAAAACCCATAAAGGCTCAAGAACTTTGTAAAGATCAACCACTTTATGCCTGAGATTGAACAAAGTGTGAAGCATAACACACAAGAGGAAGAATACGTACAGATTCTTTGTGCTGGGCACTATATGGGGCTCAAACTTGCCATAGTCAAACTCTCTGGCTGTCTTTATCAGCCGCTGGTACTTCTTGCCATTAGTGTAAGCCTGCAGCTCTGACAGCCGACATGGCATCTCGTGGCCTGTCAGCCTGCATCTCACCTGAAGAAAAACGATGTCTGGTCAGGGAAGCCCAGGGCATTACCCCAGGGCTGGGGAGGGCAGGAGACACCTGGGCAGCATCCTCCTCCCCAGCCCTCCTCCGACTTCCACGGCGGGAGAAAAGCCTCCGGGCCAGGGAGCTCACAGGGGCCGAGCCCAGCTGCTGGGGCACCTTCCCCGGCCTGCTACCAAGCGGCCTTGTCCCCCCTCACGGCCCCCTCAGGGGATGCGGCCTCGGCATCCCCTCACGGACCCCTCATGGCAGCGCCCCCAGTCCCC